CACTCCGGCCGCTGTGATCGGCGCAACGGGACACCTTGGTGATGGATTCACCCCCGGCCGCAGGTTTCAGGTGCCCCCAGGGAAAGTTGAAATTAAGTGAGAGGGCACCGAAAGTAGGAGGGGAAGGTAGTTTTACGGGGGTTGAAGGGGCTAGGAAATGTATTTTTCAAGGGCCAAAGCCTCCAAAACGTAGGTTACGTACCTTTAAAGGTTTGCAATTTGCGGTCCGCCCCGGATTAGCGATACCTGGATGTTGAGCCTGTTAACCTGTTAACCTGAGCCTGTTTGTTACCTGTTAACGCCGTCTTAAAGTGGATTTCGCAGCCGAAAAATCGACCCCTAAATCCACTAGGTCTAGAAAAATCACGTACCGCCACCAGAGCGCGTTTTGCTCAATTTTATAAGTCCTGGAGACCGGCTTGGGTACGTCATTTGACGTGTGGCGTAGCTGTCGATACGTAGTCGAGGAAAAAGTAAATTTAGACGCTTTCGAGTCTGTAATATTGTTGGCTTTTGCAGCAAAATCCCAAAAAAATAGAAATCAAACTAAGGCATCATAAGCTGGTGATTCGGGGGATTTCCATAGGTTACTGTGACTATCCCACGCTTGAGCTTGACTGGTTTGGTCCTAACGCCGTTTCCAACACGTTTTTCCTTCCCTCCGAACTTCAGTCGGCATTTCCAAAGGCCACGACTAGGGGGGTAGTAGCTCTTTCCTCCCTCTTCTCATTGACTAGGATGGGATTTGTGTGACAAATACTATTACGCCAAATGAGTGGCCACAGCAGTCGACTCGGACCGCCGGGGGCCACGCAACCCCTCTGGCGTTCCACTCGCCCGAGTCGTGTGCTGTAAAACACGCGTTGTGGCTAGGGCTGACGCTAGAGGGGAGGAGGAGCTCATTGGCATGTGGATGATGACCACTACGGGGGAAAGGGTGAACTAGGGGGATAGTGAGGGGAGCGGAAATTTTGAATTTTGAAGCTAGACTCGCGGCTTTTTATCTACTTGGGCTATAGCTTCAGAAAATGGGATCCACAAGGGACCGACAAGACAAAACTACCGACCACGTAATGCGTGCTCATTCGCCGGCTTACGACGCCGACGACGTCACCGGAAGTTTTTTTACAAGAACCTCGACATTTTCAAACTATCGTGAAAACGACGAGTTCCTTTAAAATATCCGCTCCCCCGAAAAATCAACCCCCCACACCCCCCCCCCCCCGGTCCCCCCCCCCAAAATTCCCCCCCCCCAAAAACCCCCCACCCCGAAATCCCTCCCAAAAATACCTCCCCCAAACCGTTCCCCCCCAAAAAATTCCCCCCTTTTTTTCCCCGAAAATCCTTTTTTTTTTGTTTTTTCCCAATGTTTTTTTTTTTTTTTTTGGGGGGGGTTGTTTTTTGGGGTTTTTTGGTTGGTGTTTTTGGGTTTGGGGTTTTTTTGGGGGGTTTGTTTTTTTTGGGGTGGTTTTTTGGGGGTGTTTTGGGGGGGGGGGGTTTTGGGGGGGGGAGTCAGGGGGCACCAAAATAACCCCAAAAAAAACATCAAAAATAAACCCGATACTGATGTGAGTCATAAGCAATTTGCCAAAACTCCAAAAACGTCTCGTTTGGAAAAACTGGCTCTACTAGCCATCCCCGGCCCTCCTTGACCCACTACCCCCAGAGTGCCGTGGCCGGCGTGCGCATTCTGGATGCTCAAAGCGTTCAGGCTAGGCGGGAGGGCGAGAGAGAGAGAGTGAGAGAGAGAGAAAGAAAGAGAGAGCGAGAGAGCGATAGTCTTCCAGCGAGCTAGCGTGTTTATTGTGTGTCGGAACGGGCTGGCTAGCTGGCCAGCCGGCCGGGCCAAGCGAGCGAGCGCGGGCGCGTTTTGTTTGGCTTCTATTCCGAGTCGAGTCGGGATTCGCGTGCTCCAGCGCCCGGAGGGAGCGGAGCGGAGCGGTCCCGTCTCGTTTCACAGTCTCCCCCTTTCGTCACGAAATGCAAATCGACGATGGGCACTCCGGCTGGCTGACCGGGGGCGTGCTCGCTGAATGAACGCCCATGAATTTGGGGGAGCAATTTTGCTGCTGATTTAAAGGGGTTGTGAAAGCAAATATATAAGCCTTGAGATGGACTGTCATATCTATCGATACTCGTTACATTTAATTTAGAGAGAGATAGAGAGAGAGAGACAAAGAATGAGAGAGAACTAGCCTAATTTCTAATTTTTCAGGTAAAATGCGGCCCCCTCCGAGCACGAATGCACGTCGAACTCTTCCTGTGCCCCGGAATCCATCAACCCTGCATCGAACTTGGCCACGAAATGGTCAGCCCCAAGGAGTTCACCGTGCGCGCCAACAAGGACAAGCAAAAGGACTGGAAGGGCTCGATTCGGATAGGGAAGAGTAATTTGAGGTGAGCAGAGGCTTCAGTTTTGAGCTCACGTTTATTGATGCAACTGTTTGCGCTTGATCAAAAACCATATAAGTTAATTAGAACCATAAGTATATATGGGTCGAAGCCCGGGGGCGCCGCCAGAGGCGCCTCCCGAGGCACCCCCTGGGGGCGTGCCGAGTGGCGCCTATGGCGGCGCCTGGGGCTGACCCAAAGGCGCCGGAAAACCGAGATGCGAAGCAAAAAAGCGGTGTTATACGGAAATGAGATTTGACTGCTGTGGCCTATAATTTTTTCCCGATCCTTACGCCTTGTAGAGGAAGGGGGTGTTGATGGGGGACCCACTTTTTGCTAAGGACCTCTTTTCTAAAAGAAATAGTAGAAGCTTTCGAAACTATCGTTATTATTCTTAAACGTAAAAACTTTACAAACTGTGACTGAAATACAAAAAAAAATAGATTTTTCTGCCAAAAATGGCCGATTTTCCAATCTCACTTTCAATTTCGAAATTTCCACCTAAAATTTCTACCAATTTTTTTTTTTGCATTTAAAAGATAGTTAAATTTTACTTAAAACATTATTAAAAGGCTGACTACATATTACGTTACTAGGCTTTTCTGAAGTGCAAGAGAAAAAGTTATTTGCTCCCTACTGTCCGTTGCTCTTGCGCTTGAAATGAATAATTAACATTAGTATCGAAGATTTGCATAATCTCACAGGCGCCGTTGGTGACGCCCCCCCGCCCCGTTAAAAATCATAGGGGCGGCGCCCCCAGGCGCCACTCGGCACGCCCCCCAGGGGGTGCCTCGGGAGGCGCCTTTGGCGGCGCCCCCGGGCTTCGACCCACATCCTATCCTATAAGCGAGAAAAGTATGTTTATTTTCTGTACAGCCGATTTCTCGGCCGCCAGGCCGAATTTTGAGCTGATTTTTGGCATGGAGGTGGAGAAACACATTTGTCAGTGACGCATTTTTTTGTTTTTCGAAATTCCTTCATTTAACGGTTTTACAAGCAAAATAGTGAAAAATCCTTAACATCTTGGCCGAAAAAAGGTTTGTTCAGAGGATATCTCTCGAGCCAAATGGAATTAGGCGCTAATTTTTGGAGGGCAGATTGAAAATTGCATTCTCCTGTGATACAATCCTGGGTTTTGGCAGATTTTGTAATCTAAAATTTTTATGAGCATTTTTCCAAAAAGTCCTTAACAAAATGGGCCAAGAGCCGTGGTGTCCGGGGCATAACTCGAAGCCCTGATGGAATTCCGGGCTAAAATTTGGACCACTTATGTAATCGCTGTTGCTTCTTAGGCGCAGCTTATTAGATTTTACAAATTCGATCATCTTCCACCTCAAAAACCGACTTTTGTAAAGTGACTAGACGGCGCCCGGCCGGGTCCCCAGGGGGATGAAGAGGCCTGTCCCGCATCGCATTCCCAACTCCCTGTGGTGTAAGGGACGCGCACCAGGTCCACGGGGCTAGGGGTCAAGGGTTCGGATCCGGCGCGATGACTACGTTTTGCTTTTTGGTAATTCTTCAAACAAACATATTGCTTGGCTCTACGTATGCGAGATTTATCATAGGTCTGGCCCTCGCTCTAGCGCCGCAGGCCAAAGGAAAGGTCCTTGGCCCGGACTCTCCCGCCGCAGGCCAAATCCCGGAGGAAACCAGTAAATAGCGCCGCAGGCTCAAAGATTCTAGCGCAACGCTGGCTCTGGCGCCGCAGGCCATGGATAAATCCGGGGAAACGTAGTAGCTGGCGCCGCAGGCTCAAAGGTTGGAGCGCAACGCTGGCTCTTGCGCCGCAGGCCAACGAATGGTTCCTTGCCTCAGGCACTTGCGCCGTAGGCTTCAAACAAAGGAAAGAGAATTCATGGGTCCTAGACGGGGTCCAGTGGAAAACGGCCGCGAAGCGGACTTTTTCCACTGGTATAACCATAAGACTACCGGAAAGCGTGTGTCTCGTAGCGTAAGCGCTAATTTATACCAGCTACGCGTGAATCCATACCTTCAAGGCAAATTCAACCCACCCGCAACGTGACCGTGCCGCTTCCAAGGGCCTTACATCGCTATAGTCACTTTAGATGGAATGCTAAAAGCGTCATAATCGACCCCATCCTGGTCCTAGGTCTCGAAAATTCGATTCGATGGCACCTTTTTGCATACCTACGCTTACGTATGGTGGAGTGGCGCGTAACTGTCGAGACCTAGTCGATAGCAGCGTCGAAACTAGCGTTTCCGGCGACTTTAAGGCGCAAGGCCAGAAAATCACGAGCCAAGATGAAAAAATACGATTTCAGAACCCTAATGGAACTCCGCACGTTCGACTTCTTCAACCACACACAGTATTGCTCGGCAAAGTGCCAGAGCCGGAATTATATAACTCCGAAGAGCGAGAGAGCCATTCAGGAAAATGGAGAAAGAGACTTCAGGTAGATTTCTTGGCCTTGATTTTCTGAATTACGGAATATTTTAGACGAAGCAGCATCAAGTCCCTCGACCACTTTATGGGGATGACGCCCCAGCCAACTCCCGCTCCCTACGGGATTATAAAACACGAGAATGACTCATTGTCCCATCTCGTCCAGATCTCTACAGCTTTGAATAATAACAACAACGGATTGCCGATGATGCTCCAGACGCCGAGCGAGATCTCATTGACACCAAGGGTTCCTACTGTAAGTTTTAGTGGTTTTAAGACTTTTATGACGAAGAAACATGCGTTTAAACTATTTGTGACCCACACCCATTCGTTTAGCGTAATCTATGGTTTTATTAAAAGCTTTTTTAATGTATTTTTCGCCCCAAATTAGACTTAAAATTAAACTCAACATGAAGAATGAAATAGGATAGATGCAAGGTGATTTTTCAGAACGATGAGATCCTACATCGACTCCCTGCAACTCCTGAAAATGTTGGCCGAGTTATGCATTCTGGTAAGTGTTCCGACCTTTTATTAGGCGTTAGGCTGTTTGTAAGGATTGCCTGTAAGTTAATGACGAAAGATACTTTAGACGCCACCACCTTCTGGCCCCAGATGCAGCAAATCGGGCTGCTGGATGAGATCGTAGACACGATGCTGTCGGAGCTGGATACGATCCGGAACGAGACCCGAGTTCACAATATTACTCCAAGAGGTGTGTATCCAAAATTAAGGATTGAGCATTGCTACAAATTACTATAAACGACGCTGATGGTGATAGTCCGTTGCTTAAACCTCGTTTTAGTCTGTGCAACCCTCTCCCGTCTCTGCTCCTCCCTTGACCTCACTCCGATCGTCGCAGCAAAGTTGCGAAGTCGTCCTCCCCCGCCTCCTCCACCGCCACAGCCGATGTTCCAGGCTCTTCCGACTTCCGGTGAGTTTTGGTTTAAACGTACCAGAGAAGAGAGCGAGAAGAGGAGAGAGACAGAGCGCGCGCGCGAGAGAGAGGCACAGAGAGAGAGCGAGCGAGAGAAACAAGAAAATATGCAAAAAAGACTAAAAACAAGGACACGAGCCCTTTCAGACCTGGTAAGTGGTGAGCGAAAACGAAGCCTGGATGAAGCCCTTTTGTCCCGACAGCTTGGAGCCGCCGGGATGATGCCTGAGCTGAAGAAGCCGAGGGCACAGTACCCGCAGATGGTTCAGTCGCCGCTGATCGAGGCGCTTTTGAAGGTAAGCTAGCTAAAACTGAAGTCATAGCTTAAGCCTAAGCCAGGTCTAAGCTAAGCCTAAGCTAAGCCTAGGCTAATTCCAAGCTAAGTCTGAGCCTTAGTCCTGGCCTAAACCTAAGCTGTAGCATTTCTTACACTTTCAGGTCCAAACCACCTACCAAATGCACCAGACGCCGTTCGCCAACATGGACCTATTGCTGAAGTTCGCCTCCCAGCCCCCGGCGATGAACATGGGCGACGCTGCCGGGCTGCCAAGTACGACGACCACGTCCCTGGCTTGCCTCCCACCCTTTCCGAGTGGAATTCCTGGACTTCCAACGTCCTTTTCAGCCGCCATGGGCCAACTACCAAGCCTCCCAAGCAACCTCCAAGCTCACAATCCACTTCAAAGCAACTCCTCGATGCTCTCCGCGGCCCAGCCTGCCCCATCCGCTACCCCTATTGCAGATACGCTGTTGAAAATACAGTAAAATCGAATTGTCTACAGCCTAAGTTGCATATTTATCGTGTTGCGCCATTAAAGAAACAAATTAGTTGCATCACTTTTCATGGTGTAACGTCTTTTAGGCCTTATTTTAAGCTTCATTAGCATAATTTTAAAATTAAGCCTTCTAAAACCACCAATTTTCAAAGCCAAATTTTTATGGTGTGACGGTTTTGATGTTTTGAAAATTTGCATAATTTGCAAACATAATTTGAACTATAAAATTATCGAGTCTCGCTTTTCATGGCGTAATCCTTTAATTTGGATCTTGTAATTTTCTATTTTTGAGGGCATTAATATAATTTGGTCTTTTGTTGTGGTAATATGATTGCAAGATACGTCCGATGCAACTTATGCAGATTTTGGGCTCGACCATTGGTATGCCTTTGAAAAGGAAAAAATCAATGCTTTACAATTTATCTAATACCTCATTGTTCTATTTTTCTGTATATTTGCGTCGCTTCAATTTTTTCTGTATTTTATGTGCTGAAGATCACCCAAAAATTGCTAGTCAAAAACAAATAACGCTACAGCTGTGATGCTAGAATCTTTTTTGATTGTCTGAATTTTTCTTTTTATGCAAATTTTCCGATTTTTGCGCTTTATCACAATCCCCACGATTTTCACGTTCCCAGCTTTAATTTTGTACCCTGTACGCTGCCGTATCTCTCTGATTTTCCCATGTGCATTTTCAAGTCTTTCAACGAATTCCCCCAAGTTGCCTCATTTGCATACTATGTCTTTCAAAAAAAAATCGATGATGATCTTATTTTTATTTTTCATAATATTCTAATTTTTGCGGGCTCGAAAATGATGTCTTTCAAATCTTTGCATTACGCTCTAAAATCGTATAATCAAAAATCCTTGTGTTTAGAGCTTTTCTTCCAGGAAATCGTCAGAGTTTCTAGTGGTTCACTTAGAAATCGTACTGTAATTTGACTATCAGCGTAACTTTGAGTTGTCTTTGTGTAAAGTATAAACGTATTTTGTACTACCTTGTACTCTGTACACTTTAATTCGTATTTTGTGCTCTGTAGTGCTTACTTTTGAGGAAATAAACTTTTTGATGACCTAGAAAATGCAAAATTTTTGAAAAATATAAAGCATCAAAAATATTATCGCATTTATTTTCTTGCAAGTGTACTGCAAGAAACCACATGCAGAAACCAATAAGTTTATTCCGCAGTTCACCACATTGTATAATTTCCGTAAGTGACGCCGCTGCGTAATGTTTTGTTGTAATAATTCGGTGATCATCCTTCTTCTCCTGCCATTCAGTCGAAATCCGGCCTCTCCTTCCGCTTCTCCGAGGGGCTGGGCTGAAAAAAAATTATATTTCTCTCTTTGACTTTCTCGCTCTCTCACTCTATCTCTCTCTCTCCCTGTCTCTCTCTCTCCCTATCTATTTTTAACTTTCTTCGCATTCGCGTTCTCTCGCTATCTCTCTCTTCCTCCCTCTCTCTCTTTCTCTCGCTAGAACGTTAAAAAATTACCGTCATCTCCGATGCCGGCTCGAATTCGTCCTTCATCGGCAGTTTCATCCTAGAAATCACTATTGAATTTGGCAACTCGATAACGTGGATCTTTGCCTTCAATAGCCCTTTAAAATCCGCACCAACAAACGATAAGCAGCGTGACCATGACGAGGCAGCCGGCGAACATCCCGACGAGCAGCACGACGATGGACAGGTCGAGTTGCTCAGGTACAGCGTCGGATTGAGGTGATTCGGTCTGGAAATCGAAGTGTTGCTCGCTTTCACTCTCTTTCTCTCTCTCCTTCTCTCTCCCTCTCTCTCTTTCCCTCTCTCTCTTGCTCACTCGCTCCCAAAATTTCACCTCTATGCATTGGACGGTAGAAAAGGTAGAGACATAGAGAAGCAGACAGAAAAATACAGCCAGCATCATCCAGTCGGGAAAAATTTTAGAAAGTACCGTGTTTCTGAAGCCATATCTGCGATTTTCACTTCCGGTTCGGCGAAAAATCGAGATTGAAATTTGATATGCAAATTGATTTTGATTTGTGGTGCCGAATTTCCAAAAAAATCCCTCAAATTTTTTTATTCGGAGTGGCACTTAAAATTATATGCATCTGCAATGAGGTAAAAATTCATCCCTTCCACCAGAATCTCTCATTAACGGTCGGATCAATGCGTTCATCAGCGCCCCATCCGCAGTCCAGCTCCACATCGAACTTCCTGGAGTTGAGCCGTTTCTTGTAGGTGGCCTCGTCAACGAAGAAGATAGTGGTGATGGTTCTAACCGGCCGTGGGTCGTAGAAATTCGGATCCTTCTCGTACAGATCTTTCGACACGCAAACGGTCATGTACCGGGGTGGGCCGCTTGTCATTTGGATTTTGAAGTAGATCTGGAATCTCGGAAGTAGGTTGTTTTTTCAAAATTGCGAAATATAAGAATGTCGAAATTTCTGCAATTTCAAAATTGGATAATGTCGAAATTTCGAATTTCGCAATTTCATGACCGTCGAAATTGACATAAGCTAATTTTCCCGGAAAAAACGCCCGAATCCCGTGCAAAAAAATTGACATTCTGAATTTCGACATTATGAATGTTGACATTATGAAATTTCGATATTATCAATTTTGACAATACGATTTTTGACATTATGATAGCACATCGAGGTACCAAACGCTGCGTTGCGTATTGTGCGCACCTGAATAAAGCCACCATCGTTGGCTCCCTCTCCGCTGTAGCTGGCAGCCGTCACGTTCGCCCGCAAAAATCGGTAGACCACGTATTGTAGCTCTTGTAGGACTGAAGAAAGGATCGGTTCATTGGCATTATCGGGGGGGGGGACTTTTCTGTATGTAGTCTAGAAATGCCTATTAACTTAATTCAATAATATTCAGTTTTAACCAGGGTTGAAAAGCCGCTTCGCGACTTTTCAACCCTGGCCCCCGTCTCGGACCCCATACTATTCTGCCCTTTGCATAATTGTCCTCCATTCAGAAGACAAAAAAAATGAAAAACAACCCTTTCTGCCTCTTTATATAGGCGACCACCCACTTCCGGTCTATGCTATTTTCAACAAATGTTTTTAAAAACTTAATTTATAGCGAAATGGCTAATTTTTAAAAATCTGATATGTGTGCAGTGATCCCTAGACCATTACGCACCTAATGACGTATCATACGTAGCCCAATACCCTTCCCTTCTTGAGATATCCTCCGGACAGACATCCGGAAGTGGATGCAAGGTGGCACACACACACAAACAAACACTATTTTTTTATATATAGTAGGATAATAGGTTCTTATCTCTAGATGGACACTTTTAGTGATGTTTTCAGCCATATATAACTATATTTAAACTAGAAAAACTATCTAAATTCTTAAAAAAAGTCTGAGATTTTTGGCCAAAAATCGGCAATGATCGGTCGGGAAAAAATATCGATATTTTTGATATCTTTAATGCAATTTTGTAAAGTTTTCGCGCTTAGGAAATGTAAAAACCATTTAAAAGCACTACCATTATCTATATTTCAAAAATTAGATCCTAAGAATAAGTTAGTCCCCCCGATAATGCGAAAGAACCTCGTCAAATCAATAAGACCCACTTTTGCCCTCTTCCTCGCTGATTTTCTCGAGGATATTCGTGGTGAAGAGATTGGTGAGCGTCTGGGCCTCGTGCATACGATTGCCGGGTAGTTGGTAGATCTCACGAATAGAGTTTCTAAGGTAGCGAATTTATTACAACACCCTGAGTAGGAAATCAATACCTAGTTCTCTCGCTGAGTCGATTATAAATGGCTTGATATCCCGGAATGACGGCCTCCCACTCGGGGTTATGCCGAATGATGGTGTGGAGCAGCCCTTGGCGCGCACTGTTGTCCATGATAGCACCCTGAAGTTGGCCTTCAGGGGATTTAGCGATCGGATACCGTGAAGTTGAAGCGTGGCGGCATTGGAACATGGAGGAGACTGTGATTTTGGAAAGCCTCTCGAGTTGCTTTCTCATTTTCACGCTGACGTCGGTGAAGCCTTTCCTGGCCTTTCACCGTACAAAGGTCGGCGTCGGAACGACAGCGCTAAAATACGCACTAGAAGCGATCAGAATGGAATATGATTCGTCATCCGTTTCGGAATGGTTCCGGGAAACCAATTTTATAACGATGCCATCCGATTTAATAAGATTTATAAAGTTTTCTCTCTGATATCTCATTCGAACGCTAAAATTTCATGTTGTCAAAATTTCATACAAAATCATATTGTTAATTCTCCCTATATAACGCAAAAAAACGTCGAGATAATTAAAATGCAACATTATGAAGTTTAGACATTATGATACCAGATGCATACGAAAGAGCATTCATTCCGATTAAGCTAATTTTAAAAACAGGCTCGGAATCAGCGAAAAATCCTGCATAAAATAGACTGGGTCCTGCTCAAAAACTATAATGTCGCTAACAACACCTCCTTGTCTCTGTCACTATTTATCATACTTACCGCAGAGGCGCCGAGAGGTTCCTTTGGCGATTGCAGATACTGCTGCACGATAGCTGCATCTTTTTGGGCCCGACTTTTGCAGTTTCCGGCATGCTGCGAGCCATTGTAGTCGTCGGCAAAGAAAGCGTCGTCCTCGCTAAAACCAGGGTATTTTAGGACACACAAACTGTCTAAAAACTTGAAATTAAGCTTATAAACTTGAATTACCTTTATCAACGTATTTAACTAATTTTATTTTAAATTTGATTGTTAATTAATAATGATTATTATCCATTAACGTAAAATTTTAGTTAATTAATATATTTACCTTAATTTTAATTAAATTCATGGACTGAAATTACCTTCCCGTGGTCGGCCAGGTCGGCCTAGGATTTTCGCTTACGTAGTCTTGTAGAGCCCTGCCAAGATAAGAAGCACCAGCTGAAATCGGATCTCTATGGTACTTTAACTACTGGGTTTCAATTAATATTGAAACCGGCCAGGTATTGCTAATAAAAATCAATTGCCGTACCCGCCACAACGCCAAAAAGTCCCCATCGGGAATATGAGTTGGCAATGTGCTCCCCCTTGCCCTTCTTCATCACAATATTTCTTTGACGATTTCCTGCTAAAAATTCATTACTCTTAATCTGCTGAGAAACAAAATTAAGCCTTGAAACTGGCGAGAAAAAGATGCCATCGTAACCTAGGCTTCCCGGCTTCCCGGACCATTTTCTGCCGAAAGGAAAAGGCAAAGACTTCTTTTCATCGATTTACTCCAATAATCATGAGCTTAGTACGTTTTCCGCATGTAGAAAAATACATTTTGTTCTTTACTAGAAGCTTCACGAAAATCGATGCACCCACTCGAAAGATTGGCGAAAAAAGAAACGAAATCGACCGAGTGCCGAAGAGTGGGCAAACCGCCAACTCACGCCTTTTTCTGCTGCAGCAAAATGGCACGCCGCAGGAAAAATGGATCGGTTCCCTTTTTGCCGAAAACAACTCCCGGCCTCAAAAATCTCACCAGATTCAAACAGAAGTCAGCCTTAAAAGACTTTTCTTTATCGCAACGTTGTAAAATTAGATTGATTCACAGGCCAAAAATGCACATAAGAAATCATAAAAACTGGATTTTGGCAAACACTTCACAATCACGCAAATTTTTTCGAGATGTAATTCTGGTCATAGGCAGCTTGATCGATGAAGAAAACTGTGGTGATAGTCCGGACGGGTCTTGGATCCCCGAAGCTCCGCTCAGGCGGGTACAAGTCCTTCGAAACGCATACGACCATGTATCGAGTCTCACCGCGAGTCGTGCGCACCATGAAGTAGATCTGAGAAACGGCTTTATAACGTTGAATGGAAAATTATCTAGCTCACCGCAATTTTTAGGCATTTATATGCGCGTGGCTGAATTAACTTTCACTCACCCGGATAAAAGCCGTATCACTCGCACCTTCGCCACTGTAGCTTGAAGCCGTGATGTTTTTACGCAAATAATCGTAGATGAGACTTTGCTGCTTTTGGAGTACTTGAACGGGATCGGATTACGTCATGAAAAGAGCCCAAACTTTTCCCCTCATTCTCACTGATCGACGCCAGAACGTTGGCTGAGAATATATCGGTGAGCTCCCTCGCCTGCGTCATCTTATAACCGGGTAGTTGGTAGATTTCGCGGATGTAGTTTCTAAGTATCGAAATTTATAATGTCGAAATTCACAATGCCGAAAGTTCATAATTGTCGAAATTCATAATGCCAAAATCCAAAGCGCCCAAATTTCACGATGTCATAATTCTGAATGTCGAGATTTTATAAAGTTGAATTTCCAGTTTTTCCTGATTCATAATATCTGAATTTCATAACGTCGAAATTTCATAAAGTCGCAATTAATAATGCCGCCATTTTTTAATGACAAAATTTTAGACGCCGAATTATATGACCTTGAAATATCAAAATGTCGGAATTTACGTGGATAAGTCTCCTATAACACCGCAAATACAATGCAAAAATCACGTTTCGATATATTGAATTTTCGGCATTGTGAATTTCGACATATTACTTAAAGGTAGCAAATTTTTTGCGAGGCAAGATGTGCTTACTTCGTCTTCTCGCTAAGCCGCTTGTAGTAAGCGCTATACTCCGGGATCACTGCTTCCCATTCAGGATTATGACGAAGTAGGGTGTGCATCAGGCCTTGGTGCCCGTTGTTATCCATGATTGCGCCCTAAAAGTTGCCCTCCTCTATGAAGGGTTTTATTTTGTATACCGTGAAATTAAAACGCGGTGGCATTGGCACGTGGAGAAGACTTCGATTCTCAAACGCTTCACGAATTGTCTTTTCGTTTTCGTGCTGTCGTCGGTCAAACCGGGCTTGAGCTTGGTCTGTCGGCAGATTGGATTTGGAGCTGCAGCGCTAAAGAAAGTCGATATAGTTTTTTCGGCAACCACGTACCCTAACTTTCCCCAGGCCCTCAGTGCTTGGCGTCTGACTGTACTGGTTGTCAATTGCGGCAATCTTTTCATCAAGACGTTTGCAATTTCCATCATATTGCTCCCCATTGTAGTCATCGGAGTAAAAAGCATCGTTCTCACTAAAAATTTGGAATTAAAGCTGAATTCCTGTGACTTGGTTTTTTTTTGTTGATTTTGCAACTATAGAAACTAACTTAATTTTTTGCGGAAAGATTTGAAATGAATTTTAAGATGGCTTACTCTCCAGTCGTTAACCATGGTAATGTCCCTCTAGCACCACCATTCCCAGAGTTTCCAAGAAGTTGGGCTGAAATAAAACATTGACACTTTATATTAAACGTTTGAATTTGTGTAAAAATTTTATTCCATACCTGCTAGAGCCCCAAGAAACCGAGAATTTCCGGGAATCGGCATCGGTGTAGTGTCGCCTTTTTTCATTGTGGAATCTTTGCAAGGTTTCTGAAAATCAGCTAAAAGCTGTTCAAAATTTTAAAAACGAGAGAAAGCAAGAAAGAAAAGAAATAAAGCCAGCGAACGCGCGCAATCGATTAGCCATTTTGTCGTGCAAGACAATGGTACTGTTTTCCAAGCACTTTTCTGGTGTTCAAGGTTTGTCAGGGCACAAAATTTCTTCAAATTTTGAAGATATCGAAAAGTTAATACCAACAGAAATAGGGCAGATTGTATGGAAAATATGGCTCGTTGCGGCCGAGGGCATGGAAATACTGCTGCCGCAACAAAATGGTCGCTTTTATTGTGAAAGAAATAGGAGCCCCCGTTTTTTTTACGCAAATCACCCAGGGCTCGAAAGCGTGATAAAAGTTTGAGCCAAATCCATAAAAATAAAAGCTTATTTTATCAGGTTTCAGGTCGTCTTCTTTACCGGTGGCAGTGGATCCTGATAAAGAATTCTTTCAACAATCTGAAAACAACTAAACTTTTCCAGGATCAGAGTTTGGTTTTTTTTGTACGAAAACTCAATTTACGGGCGTTGGTTGCCGTCAACCTTTGGGCAATTCGGGTTATTTTTATTCTTTTTGACAAGCATGGGTCACGTATTTCGGTCGTTTCGAATTACTCGGAACGCCGCTTTATCACTTCAGGCTCTGGCTGTTTGCGAAATCACGTGAATTTCGAGAGCAGAGCCAGGAGCTTAATGCGGTGATAAAATTTGGCTTACGCGATATTTTGGCCATAAATTTTCGGGAAACCGTTTTTTCTTTCGATCATTAAAATTTTTCGTTATGCTGTAATTACAAAAAATTATAGGATGAATAATTCTGACGACCTTGATCAGCCCGAACCGGAAGGAATTGACGAGGAATTGCAATCCATGGCGCAAGACATTGCTGAGGCAATTCGGGTCTTTGCGGGGATTTTCGGTACAATTCACTCAACCGCTAGGCTAAAAATGTCGAAAATCATAATGTCGAAATTTCATAATGTCGTTCCTAATCTCATGATGGCGAACTTTACATAGCAAATCTCCCGAAAAATCCCCAAGTCATATGACAAAAATTCGACATAATGACATTTCGATCCTGAAATTTCATTTCGATTTTTGGACGTTCTAACGGCAGATCAAAAGCTTAATTTTAGTTTTCATGTTGAAGCTCGGCGAGTTGATGAACGAAGAGCGCCCCGAGCCGTCGACATCCACGACATCGTTAATAAGGTCGGGAAGCCAAAAAAAAACTTATGGATCTGGTTAAGGTGTTTTTTACAATCGATACCTTTGCGTATCTATTAACAAAACTAGCTTTTCAGTGAAGACGACGCCTACCTCGCCGACGATTACAATGGATGGGAACATCCTGGCGATTGCGTTAGTAAAGAGCAAAAAGCAGACGCCATCCTAGAGCAATATGGCCTTAAGGTACGCGGTATAAAGAATAAATAATGTGATATGTTCCAGGCACTAATGGTTTTAGGTGTACCCCAACTCCGGTGAGACATATGGACCTGACTTTGAAAGGCCATGCACCAGCAAGAAGCAAAAAAGGGCTGCCATCAGTCGGCAGTGCGAGCCGGTTGGCAAAGTAGGGCTTTTCCTCAAGCATTGTAAGGCTTAGCATTATGATTTCGGTTCCTAGCTAAATAAAATTTCCAGAAAATGGTGCGGAAGGACATTTAAAACATTCACGGAAAATTTCACCCCTCTAGCTGCAGTAGTTTTTGAGTTAGGGCAAAAATACTGTTTTCCCAACCGTTGCATTTCATTTTTCGGCTCTCTTTTTGGACTCTGCATCAGTATGCTAAATTCCTCCTTTCTTTGGACGTCGGGTACGATTTTATCCTGTTAAAATTAATGAAATAGCCTATTTTGAAGCCGAATTTTGCTAGGTCAAAAATTTTCTTGGATAGAAAAGGGACAGCGCTGATTTCGCCCAATAACTCCCAGGCGCAATCTCGGCGGGATCCCGGAAAAAAACCTAAAATCAAGTTTAATTGTGCAATAACTCGGAAATTATTGTAGCCAGCGTGCTGAAAGTCTATGTGAACCTTTTAAATAAGTTGGTCACTCCTGCGTAAAATTTTAACTGGAAATGGCGAAACGACTGTAGTTTAGGCCGCCCTCATAATTGACCATCCTTTGTCTACCCAACAAGCCAAGGCCAGCTTCAAAGCACGGTTCTACAAAGGCGGGAAAGCCGCCCAGCAAGCCATGAACCATCAGAATTATCTGTGCGTCCGAATTCCAGATGGCTTCCCTATTACGGTAGTCTCGGTAGTGAGATACACAAATCAAGTATATTAGGGTGCAATAATGGATAATAACGCAGGCCAAGGGCTTCTTCATACAATAATACGTCATGGACCTGATTGGGAGGCAGTTATTCCTAAATATCGAGATATTTTTGAGCGCCTCTCGGAACCTATCAGGTATGTAAAAATTTTTATCACCGCTCAATGGGGCGGGTTTCAAAATATCCAAATTCATACTGAATTGTCATAATTTCGAAAATTCATAATGTCGAAAATTCACACTGTCGGAACTCGGAATCGCTCAATTCGCATAAGCTAATTTATTCGGAAAAGTCCCCGAAATCCGATAAAAAAATGACGCCGTACTGAATTTCGAAATGACGGCATTTCGACCATCTGAATTTAGCCATTATGAACGTCGACATTATGATTTGCGGAATTATGATAGCAAATCCCGCTCAAAGCATGAGGTTTCATCTGCGTTCATAAAGCTAAAAGCTTCATCCCTCGATTAGTCCCATCGAGAGCTAAGAAATACGCCAATTTTAATAACCAAATTCGAGCAGAGTTCATCCCCGTTTTAGACAATTCGTCGAAGCCGCTTCCGGACTAGCCGATGACAAGAATCATCAAACAGAACATTTGCGCGATGACTTCCGGCAGCTGCTAGACAGACAGGCCACCGGAAATGATTACAAGCGTAAAAAAGTATTTGGTACAAACGCTGTTTTCCTAGTTTTGCACAAACTACAAGAGCTCGTCTATAACTATCTATGCTCCAAAATGACCACCTCGAGTTATGCCGGGGAAGGGGCAAATAACATGGGCTATGTCCAGGTGCCCTTTCTAGCAATGACTCAAATTTGATTTTTAGATCTTCTTCGAAGCACCATACCACCCTCCCGGTGAGCGAAGATACATGACCGTATGCATATCAAAGGAGCGATACGAGCGCGTACCTGTTATTGAAGATAGTCGACAAGTGAAGGCCGTCATCACAATTTTCTTTGTGGACCGGTCAACATTCGAAAAAAAATACATCTCCAAAAAATTTGACGTTTTCAAGCAGTTATTCAAAGACGCACCATTTGGTATAAAAATGAAACCAGGTCAGAATTTAAAATAGCGTTGCCGATCTGTATACCCCCAGACTGATTTGGGCCGCAATTGAACCTGTCACTTTACAGATAGTATTTGGATAAATTTATTCAGCAAATCATATTTACTGCATACAACAGCTTGTTCTCTACACAAAACGAGACAGCAAACAGCAGCAATTACATTCAATGAACCACACCATCGGTTACAACGGCACACGCAAGGTGGCTTGATTTATTTGAAAGGAATTTATCCTATTTTTATTTTTAAGGAAGATTTTAAGACGTTGGTCATTTTTTCGCACACTTTCCGCTATGCCTACAGGTTTATTTCGGCTCGTTCGGGTCTTATCTTTTACGCACCGTCGTGCTTTCTGGAAGCCGTGTGTTGGAATCAATGATTTATGCCCCCGGAGTGGCGCAATATTTCCTCATCATTTTCACCAGGGCCGCTCTCTTTCCATTGTTTTGGGTTTTCCTGATAATTTTCGGTAAAACCATTATATATGAATATTATACCTAAACCTATTTCCATGGCGTAGAAAATAGTACCTCAGCGCCATGTTCAGTAAGCATATGCGCGGATGGGCATCACTTCTTTTTCTCTTAGTTTCGCATGACTTTCCCAATAAATATATTTGTTGGCTTTAGCTACTTTGATAGATAAGTTTTTAGCACGCGTGTACCGCAATTACCGCAATGGCAGGTCCGTCCAGCAACCAGGCCGTGTAAGTTTTCTTGATTGGTGGAGCATGCCAGATAAGACAGTTAACTTGTAATTTTTGTATAATAGCTGCAAGAGTGCCGAAAATATTACCTGCAAATTTTTTAGTCATGAAGCCTACCTGGCGACGTGGTGGGAAAATCCGGGACAATGCACAACCAAGGAAGAAAAGGAGGCGGCCGTCGCGGAGCAATATTCGCCCCCAAGCACTCAGGCATCTATTCAAGGTGTACAGGCTGGAGCCCCGGTAAACACAAGAATTTTTTAAAATTATATGATTTTTACCTTCTGTCCTGGGTTTTCTAGTTTTCTAGCCAACAAAAACTCCTAAAAACACTACAAACAGGCACTATATTCTATTAGTAGCCAGATAAAGGCCAAAAAGGTAAATATTGGGTTTCTCCCTACCCCGCCCCTTTCCAAGTCATGAATTTGTGAAGCGACCTGAAGCCTTTGCTTAGGCTCACCAGCGCAACGTTGTCCGCTTCTCCGTTGAGAAGGCCGAGGAACGTCTAGAAAAGCTTGCAAAAACCGCCTTACAATTCGATAAGCCGTGCGATCTACACGTTCCATTCCCCAGCATGTTCACCTTCACGGTAATATCATATTGGTGTCAACCTATAAAAACCAGTTTTAGGGTGATATACTGGATAGCGACGTGCACCAGGGCCTTCTTCACACCATCCTTCGCCACAGTCCGCAGTGGGTGGAGGTTGACTCGGTCTACAAAGATTCATACGATAAGCTCAGCACCCAGACTAAGTAAGTATCTACATATGCGTTCAATTGAGTTCTAAGGACACTAACATTTACTAACACGATGCGTGTTGCAAAGAGAAAGACTGAGACTCCACCCAGACGCGTCTTAAAATTAATGATATTTCCTTTTCACTTTTTGTCAGAGCAACTACGGCAAAAACCGTAGTTATATTATTTTCAGAACCAGAATCGCAGCGATTTCCGCTCTTGGCTACAACAAATATCTGGCAGCGCAAAAATTGTGCGGTGACTTCATGAATTATACACAGAACGGCATGGCCTCGGCTGATTTCAAAGGTTTGCGTGGTGGTGTTTAGTGTCTATTTACAACCACGTATTTTAGTCCTCTATAATCTGCAACAGCTTGTCTACAAATACCTTCGGATCCGAACAGACCACGGTCGTAACTATGACGGCGAGGCCGTATCAAAGAGTAAACGTGTTTGGGTGGGTGATTCGTCAAGGGATCTGGGCAGATCAGATCGGAAATAACTTCAATTTTGACGTTGGCGCAAAATATCGAGCTCTGGCATATATACGCGATAACTTTCGAATTTTCAGATATTCTTCTACGTGGGAATCCCCAATCTCGAATATATGGTGGTTTGCCCTTCCATCGAGCCGGGAAATGCTATCGTTGATTTTGATGCTAACAAGCACGTCCTCAGTGTTATCACAATTTTTTTCGTCGACAAAAAGGCTTACAATACCCGCTGGTTCTCTAAAAAATTTGGGTCATCTGAGAAGCGAATGCGAGAAAAATGAATAAGGATCTACGAATGAGCCTTTTGAAGTGCGGAATTTTTTAATATCAACATTGTTAATGTTTGGCACTGTCTTTAATTTTGATATTATTTGGCAAATTTTTCTTAATTAGTAACTATCTAAGCCTCCTCGTCTTTTATATTGCAATAAATTGTTGAGCGAATGAACCGGTCTGTAACCAGCCGTTTTACAAACGATCCTGAAAAATCAGAAATGGCACCAGATCTGATGCAAAGCATGAAGTTTACATTTTTTTGTTTGGCGGATTTTAGAAGTGCTTTAGAAGTCAGAGAGAACATGTTTCCACCCCCGATTCGGTGTCTGCTCAGATTTCTGAGGTGTCCTAGTGGTTTGTTTTGGGGGCTTCGCGTGCCGGAGGGATTTTCTTTATTTCTTTATTTCTTTATTCCCTACCAGTTACTCCATCAAATGGTCACATGGCCTCTCTGCTCCATCCGCCCCCACCCTCATCCCTCTCCACTTGCTCCGGCTGCAAGACGAGATGGAAAGAAGCTAGCGAACTGAAATTTATCGGAAAAAGTAAGGATCAATCTACTCAAAAAACATGATATACTTAAAATACGATATCATTAAAGTATGCTTAATATAATAAAATGAAAAAGCTTTAATATACTGAAAATTTGGCATTAAAACATCAAAATTTCTTAGACGTGAACTTTCCGTATTTTTAAATCATCTATTTTCATTTAAAGCTCTTGAGTTCCCGTTTAGAATCTTTTTTTTCGTGTACGTCAATATTTTTCAGCCGGCTTTTCGCCGCGGAACCGCGGAACCTTATCCTTTTTGGCTTGAGTTGCTGCGAAAACTCGCCCCGTTTCCAAAGCAACGCAGAAAAAGTTTGGTTATGCGATAAAATTTTCGCTTATGGCCAGGTAATTTATGGTACTAATTTGGCGATTTCGAATCACCTGAAGCTATTTCATCCTTTCATGCTTCTTTGTTAAAATAATGTCTTTAGCTTTGTTCAAAAACCCATATTTCGTATTTCAGATATTTCGCACTAGAAGTACGATGATGAACAATTCATCAGGCTCGCGGAAGCCTGAATCCAGACGGAATGCAAATGAGACGGACGATGAAGGATGGGGTTGGACTGTTGGTCTGGGTGCGGCACTTCTAGGTAATTTGGCCGGAAGATTTGCATACGCATTTTCGAAAATCATTTTTCGAAAGCAACATTTCCGAAAGCCATATTTTCGAAAATTGGTTTCCCGAAAATCACAATTTTGACCTAATTTGCATCCAGCTATCACCAGGAAATGGCCACTAATTTTTCCGCCTTCTGGTTCCAAAAAAGCGCTTTCGAAAAATATGACTTTTTGGAAATAGGATTTTCGAAAAGGTGATATTCGAAAATATGATTTTTCGTAATAGGATTTTTGGGAAAACTGATTTTCGCGAGGTAATTTCGGGAAAATACAAAAACAAAACAGGACAAACAAAAAACGATTCAAGACTAAAAAATTTCCCTGGATTTAGGTGCCGCCGCCTGGGGAGCTGCATCATGGTATAACAGCAGAAATGAGGAAGACCAGCCACGGAGCCATGTTCAGACATCGGCGCCGATTCGACACGTTCACATGCCAACATATACACCTGCAGAACCAGCGCAAATTGCTGAAGCGCCACCTACAGCAGAGTAAGGCATTTCAGGTTGCAATTTTTTGAGTTTCTGATTTAGTTATTTTTCATTTTTTATTTAATTCTTCATCAAAAACTTGGAAACCCAATTTTTAGGGAAGAAGAGACCTTCCTCGCCGACGACTACAACGGCTGGGAGCACCCCGGAAATTGTACGAGTAGGGCCCGAAAAAGTGAGGCAATCCAGCAATATCGAGATGCGGTGGAGTCTCGGATTTACGCTCCGGTATGTTCTAGACATTAAATAATTTGCGCGATACCTAACTTTACGCAGTATCACGTAGGTAACAACATTCAAATTTTAGCGTCGAAATGGCCGTGCCGGTGCGGCTCTCACCACGCTGGAAGCCATAATACAATTTGACAAACATAAGCGTGAAAACGGGGAAGCCGCTCGACAAGCATTCAAAAAAAGAAGTCTACTTGAGGTGCCGATGCCAAGTGGTTTTGAGAGTACGGTAAGATTTTAATTTTTTGACCCAGAACAGACAACGGTTTAGTGCGCGATCCTGGATAACAATGGCTATCAAGGGCTGTTGCATACAATCCTTCGCCACAGCCCGGAATGGAAAGATGTTGCGCCCGGATATGCTAATATTTACCAGCGGCTTAGCGAGCAGACGAGGTGAGAATTGAGTCTTGTTATTGGGTTCCGAAGCTTTCGCAATAACGGGGGGTTTCTGGGGTGACCAGCTTCCTTCCTATAAGTCCAGAAATGGCCAATAACTTAATATTAAGCATTTTAATATTTTGTAAAAGTAAAATTTTGGCTTTATTGGAAGTGGATAGCAATAAAATGCTTTGAAAAATCCAGATATTCAGGGCCGCCATTAGCAAAATCTCACACCTGGCCGATAACAACCAGAAGCGGGCACAACAGATGATCAAGGAGTTCAAGAAAAGCCTAGGCACGATGCCGGCAAACGATTGCAAAAGTGGGTCCACCTCAAGTTGTCGAATACCTATTTCTAGTTCTGCAAAACCTCCAGGGAATCATCTATGACTATCTGTGCAAGACCATTAATGCCTGGAATTATGCCGGCGAGGGGGCCAACCCAAGTGATTTTGTTCAGGTAAGCAGGGTCGATACACCTTGATTTTCCTTTGTTCCCCCCTCCTTTTTTTTTTTTCCCCCCCTCTTCCCCCTTTTTTTTTTTTTTTTTTTTTTCCCTCCCCCCCCTTTTCCCCCCCCCCCAATTCCCCTTTAAGTCATGCTAATAGACATAGATTTCTTTCATCTCTAAAGCGTTTTTTTTCAGTTTTTCTTCCAAGAATCAGGAAATGCATCGATTGGCTACATGGTCGTATGCATCTCGAAGACCGTCGATGGTTCGGTTCCGAAGTTTGACGATCCGAGACCCGTCAGCAACATCAACACCATCTACTTTGTCGATGAACATACCTTGCGCGGGCGGAAGGTCTCTGAGTGCTTCTCTTTGCACTGATTTTGTGCTTGATCACACCGAAAATTGCCATGATCTCTTGTCATTCCAGAATTAATTGCCGCTTTTATGTATAAAGGTTTTAAAGCGATGGGAAATTTGTTGAAAATCCACACCCTGAGCTAAAATTAGCGCAAAAAATATATTGCACACTTACATAGGTTACTTGCACACCTTATGTCCCAAAATACAACGCTTACCTTGCAAGCTGCGGATATTTTTTTACCTTCCATCAAGCCTTCCACCTTTTTTACAAACTTTTCCGAGTTTTTCCAGTTTCGAAACTATTCCGGACGGTTTTAATCTTTTTGTGCCCTTCCATAGCGTCTTTGGGGGAGGGGGAGGGGGTGTGGCCGCCGGGGACGCCATTATCAGCAGGCATTTTTTTGTTGCTTGCTTACTCCCTCCGACCAGCGCTCAGCGTAGACTCGCCTATGATGAAACTTGCAGACATCGCATGGCACAGCTCGAAACCTGTTCTAACTTGATCGCCCCCAGAATTTTCTAGACTGTTCCAGGCTTCTCGGGGGCGGAGTCACGTAGGGTTTTCTTGCGACAGAAAACCGCTTCTCATCGCTCGGTTTAGGCGACTCCTACCAAACGTGACGAAATTCGCAAACCCTTTGTTGTGCCATTATCGAACACCAACTCCAAGCTTGTTTCTCGTCATCCCTTCTACTCGAAGTTTTAATCTGTTGGCGTAGATATGCTGATGCAATCGTCGTCCCCCCAAATTGTTTCAAGGATTCCTCATCCTCTGTTTGCCTTTTTTTGGACTCGACGCTCCATTAACCTTGACGACCACGCTAGCTCGGTTGCCATTACAAAAAATGGCGTCCGGATCGATCGAATCTCAAACCCAATACTTGCGTTTTGATTATTTGGTGGTTTACAATACGGCGTAGCTCTCAAAATCTTTTTTGTATGCTTTTGAAAAGGGGCGACGATGTCAAATATGTATTTCTTTCTTATGCAAATATGCTATGCTTTCCTATGCAAATATTTCTTTTTCTGTACGTAGCGTTGTTGGGAACGAAATTACAGAACCATCTCGACTAAAACACGCCATGGGTGCTGTCAACGGAAACAAATGGACTTCGATCGGGACCGACATCCAGTAAGTTATTGGAGGTTTGGACTTCCATAAATTCGCATAATAAGGCCAGTTACCTTGCGCTTCCCCCACCAACGTCTTTCTGTTCGACTCATTCCCCTCGCGCCAAATAGCTTGATTGGCGAATTTAAATACAAATATATCGCCGAACGCCAAGGTTCCCCCTAAAAGCCGATGCATGAATTATTTAGGCCACCTTATGCAAATGCAAATTTCCTTTTGGTTGGCATTCGATAGGGAACCTTTGAATGGTAGTTAACCTGCCGTTCTGTTGTGACCTAGCCAAATCAACATACATACCTTTATTTGATTTTGATCTGATTGCTTGAAAATTTCGTAATTTCGTCATTTTGCATATTGATAATCAAATTTTCTAAGATTACAGGTTTTTTTAAGATAAATAAAGGCAGTTTTCTCGACTGTTTTTATCGGTGAGACTAGTTTACCCCCCCCCCCCAGCCCCAACTTTTCAGCCATACGTCCTATTAATGCGCCGAGTATCTCAAAATGTTCGCCGTAGTCAAATTACTATAAAAAAGTTGTTTTCTTGCGGCAAAAATTGCTAGAAAATTTTTTACAAGATTTTGAAAGTTGAAAAGACTAAGTATGCTTCAATGTACAGGAATCAAAAACTCAAATATTTTTGTTTTTCGCTATTTTTTCGACTAAATGCACTGTAGGCTGCTTCTCCAGAGCAAGAGCTACATTTTGGTACCATTGACAGCTCTGTAGGTCAAAGATAGCCAAGATACGAAAACTCACTTTGGAACAGCAAAAATTAATTAAAGAAAACCCAGAATTATAATTGTTATAAAAATTTTTCTAACAATTTTTGATGTAAAGAAACAACTTTTTTATAGTAATTCGACCAGGGGGAACATTTTGAGATACTTATCGCATTAATAGGACGTATGGCTGAAAAGTTGTGGCTGGGGGGTGAACTAGAGTCTCGCCGTTTTTATCATATGTAAGCCATGAAAAATGAGAAAAAATGTCCGATTTCTGACACAAATTTCCACTAACAATTTTTCGTGTTTGAAACCTTTTAAATGTTGTTCCTTTTCTAGTCAAGCTGAGTTTTACCAAAAAGATTATAAAAAAAACTTTTTATTTCGTTACCGCCCTCCTGGGAAAAAAATCGGTCCTAAAAACCCCTGAATACCATGCAAAATTTCGGCATTATGAAATTTCGCCATTAAACTTTGACCCTACGATAGCGAATTTTTAGTTACCAAGGATGTGTATTTAACGGCTTCACCTCTAATGGAAATTTTTAGTGAAGACGACGCGTTTCGCGCCGACCATTATTGGGGATGGGAGCATCCAGCCGAACCCCCACCGGTACAGGCTGGTGGCCCTGCCCAACCAAGGGTGCGTTTATTTCTAACGAACCAAGTCGGGCGCGGGCGCTGCTGCATGTGCCGGATTCGGTCCTAATCAAAATATTTTGCGCGAAGGCAGCTTTCCCGACGAACGCATTTAGGTCAAATTGCCGATCTTCACGCCGGCCGAAGCTAAAGCTCGGTTTGTTGAACGAGAGACGGATGGCGTGACGGCGGCGAGGACAGCCTTGGGAGAAGCCGGTGTTCTACAGGTTCCAATGCCACCACAATTCGACTTTTCGGTAAGGTTATAGAGAAAAACATTGAGGAAGCCTTGTTTTAAGGGCGCGATACTGGACAATCGGGGAACTCAAGGAACACTCCATACAATTTTACGTCACAGCCCAGAGTGGAGATCCGTGATCCCTGGATTTGATGCCGTTTATAGCGACCTTACCAAAGAAACTAGGTATTAATGAGTCGGATGCAATCAGAAAAATAAAACATCTAGAAAGATAATCGAGACAATTTCCGGGATGCGCCATAACAAAGGAAATCGAGTAAAGGACGCCATTAAAGACTTTCTGGGGAGTGTTATCGAAATAGCTGATTGTAAAGGTTCGTTGATCCTTTATTGCGTAGTCTGGTTTAGCTTTTCAAAACATGCAGCAGCTGATCTACAACTACCTTCTGGCCCACATCAACGCTGATAGCTATTCGGGCGAGGGAAGAAACTCCTGCGGGCTTGAGCAGGTAAGAAAAGCCCGCAAATAGAAGGTCGCTAAAAGTCGCCGCTTCTGAAGATTGCAATATGTTACAGATTTTCTTCGAAATCAACCGCGACTCGGAGGGACAGGAAATAACCCGATACATGACGGTGTGCGTGTCGGAACAATCGTACGATGCGGCTGAGAATGATACCGATCAAAGACCGGTCAAATCCATCATCACAGTTTTCTTCCTTAGCCCCTCTTTGTACGAGAAGCGCAATAAAACCTTTATTCGTCAACCAATCCCATAAATACGAAAAAACGCTTTGAGCTGCCTTGTTGGGTTCATTTTGATATTGTGATGTTATGCCATTGTGATTTCCTTGGAATGGACAGCTTTATCATTTACAAAACTTCCAATATTGTTCCTTTGTTGTTGTTGCCATAATAAATATTGGACGGAATTCTGCCGGAGAGTGACTTGAACTCGCACCGATCTGAATGGCTTATCACACGATCACCATCTAAAAGCGCGGATTTCAGCCACATTAACAGACTGTGAAATTTTCGGAAACTTTTTAAGAGTTAGCCGCGCCGGACTTCCACCCCGATTTGGTGTGGGCTCAGATTTCCGAGGTGTCCTAGTGGTTTGGACTCGGGGGTGGGAAGGGGGCTCCCCGGGACGGGTCGGCTGGATTCGGATGAATTATTGAAACGATATCAGATTACCGGATGAATAACGCTGTTCCCGCCACGATGGGTATAGTCACTAGTTTCGGTCTCGCTGGCAACTTCCGCAGCATTTTTCGGCAATCTTTTTAAGTTGATGGCTTCAGAGAGTCTGCGACGAGTTTGCCGTTTTAAATTGGGCATACCTTCCTTAGGTTGATGCCCAGATGTAGCTACCGTAATCGACAGCAAGATGCCAACCCTTACCTCGATAGCCAAGGACCGGGTGGCAATGTATATCCCGGCTGTCAGCACATGTCAATGTCACAAGGATGAGCCGCCGCCTTGGACGGGAGAAATTCACGGATTGTCACAAGTTGGTACCTAGGCGCGTACGGTCAAAACCTTCAATAAACTTTGCCACTCAGTGAAACCTAGCAAATTTGCATATCGGCTTACGTGACTTAAGACTTAGCTTAGCAACGAAGGCTTACCCAAAGCTACTATTTGGCTACGGGTAAGGTTTCAAATTATCGAATGAAGTCTTGTGATCTAAGAAAGTTGTACTTAGAAAAAGCGATAAATTCTGCCTTGCTAGGCCCTTTACAGCATCGATTCCTAAAAGTTTTCAGAAGGATCTTTGCTAAAAATAAGCTACCAACTCGAAATTTCCAAAGCCAAAGTCAGCTCTCCTTTCAGGCACTAATGTCCGAATCGATCCCGCTTCGCGCCTTCTGGTGGCTAATGCTGGTGATGTGCATCATCTGTGGGGTTACTACCACAACCCTGGTCGTTTTGGAATATATTGAAGGGCCTACGCAGACTTCAACGACGATACGTTTGGTACACACCTATTGAAAATCCTTTATCCCCTCAATAAAATTTGAAAACCTCGAAAAATGTTTTTAGGTGGACAGTCTCGAACTGCCAGGGATTACAATATGCCCAAAAGTAAGCAAATTTTTCCTTTTTTTAGCTTGGCTTCAAGCACTTAAACAACAAAATAAAATCGCACTTCAGTTGCGACTGAATTACCTCAATTGACAAATTTTTTAGGTCCCCGACATCTTCGATGAAAAGCCACTATTTCGAGATATTTCCGCTTCACTACCAAATTTGACGTACGATGTTCAACTGGATGTTGTTAGGTAAAAATTGTAGCTATCCCACTTCTTACCTCCGCCAATTCCGTTTTAGATACTTTATCGCTGGCAATGGTCTCGAAAATATTGATGCAATCTCGAGATATAATGCTTCTTACCTTCAACAACTCGATCTGTACTATCGACTGTGGTCTCGCGGGTATTCGACGCAGGAGTTTTTCTACTTAATTCATGTAATCATTTATTTTTGATAAGATGACTAAAAACTATTTAGGACAAATACGGGTACACGTGTGAGCAATTTTTCTATTCCTGCAATTTTGGAGGGAATGCGAAGAATTGCTGCACGGAGGTTTTTGCTAAAAAGGTAGGGTCTTCTGCTTTCTCTCTCACTCTCGCTCTCCCACTCTCGCTCTCTCTCTCGCTCTCTCGCTCTCCCGCTCTTGCTTCCGGTAACCTTTTTGCTCTAAATTCAGATCGTAATCCGACGAGGAGTATGTTTTCAAACTCGTGCAGCGTTAAATCAGGTTATTTTTAGGCTAGAAATTTAGTATTCGCTTAGGCTCAGTTTAGGCGTGAGCCAAGCAATTCAGCTTCAAACACTAAATGGACTTCATTCAGACCGAAGCTGACGACGTCGGGCGATTAGTGCTGAGCATGAGAGCCTTAAGGACAATGACCTCTCCAGAATATAATTATACACAAGTTGGTTCACTCGTTTCGATACTTTAAGTCAAAAGTTTAGCCTCAACTACTCGTTTACGTCACAGACAATCATGATATTGTGGTGGATTATCCGAGATATTACTTATACCCTCAGCAATTCAGTCGGATGAGGTTGACGGCAAGGTTTGAGGCCCTCCCCCCCCCTCCCCCTCTCCCTCTCTCTCCCTCTCTCTCTCCCTCTCTCTTTCTCTCTCTCGCTATTTCCACTTCCTTTAGGTTCATGGAACTCATCCAGAGCAACGACGTGTGCACAAACAAGGTGGATCTGGTTTGAGGAGCAAAAGTGTGTTGGCCCACGCTCTTTTCAGTTGTTCGGAAAAGACGCAGAATGCGTGATTCGGAGATGGCTAGAGTCGAATATCGTTGTGCCATTCAATTGTACGCTTTCTTATATGACCAACGTCAGCAAGTTGCCGGCGGGGATTGAGGTAAGCTTAAGCCAAAGCCTAAGCCTGAGCCTAAGCATAGGTGGGCCTAGGCCTAAGCCCAAGCTAGGCCTAAGCCTACGACTAAGCCTAAACTTAATTCTAAGCCTAAGTATAAGCCTAAGCCCATCCAGGCCGAAGCCTAAACCGTTTGAAAGCAATTTTAGGTCTGCGATCCGGCCATTATCGTTGAAAATTACTACAATCACATCCAATTGGTTTGGGATAATGCAAATGTGACGGAAAACGTAAGTTCTACATTTCAATAAATTGATTTTCCACATTTTATTATAGCAGCAATTTTCGCCTGTAAATGAGGAGATCGTAAATACAAATTTTTGTCAAAAAACCCGTGTTTTTAGTGTATTCCGGGCTGTAAAAGATGGGACTACACAGTATCCCTGCAGCAAAATCCAAATATCGATCGATTTATCGATTACGCATACAATTTGGAAGTTTCTTATAATGATTTACAGGTAAGTTACAGATTATGAAATTCTTTGTTTCTCTCTCCATCAAGCTTTCTCTCTATCTCTCTCTCGCTCTCTCACTCGCTCTCTCGCTCTCTCGTTCTCCCACGTTCTCGCTCGCTCCCTCTGGCTCTCTCTTCTCGTTCCTAGATAGGACTTTTAAATCTTTTTCAGTACGAGTACGTGAAAGAATCCTACACAACTTCCGTGCCGGGTTTCATGTCCCAAATTGGAGGTACGGTAATTCCTGACTTCGTCGGGTTTCTACAACTAAATGGCGTTTGCTAGCTTTCCTTGCCCCAAAAATTTGAAAAAATTTAAGATTATTTGGATTTCCAGGTCAATTCGGCTTCTTCCTCGGCCTGTCGATCATCACCTTCCTGCAAATGATCATCTACTGCATACACTGGATAGCGGTTACAGTTGCCTCTAAAATGCACCGTATCTACCGTACTTTCTCGTCGGTTACGGCATCGGAGAAGCCGACTTCTTGTGAGTTTAAGTCTTAAATTTTGAGCAATAGTTGGAGCTCAATTCGAAAAAGGCTTGAGCATCACCTTAGATGAACTTTGAGCCAGAATTCACCTTAAAAAAGCAGAAATAATCATGATTATGGATTAATTCAGAATCACACTATTTTCAGACTCCCTCCCGAATATGCCATACCGAGGCCACCACCTCGACGTCCTTCCTGGTACCGAAGAACCCGTCTCTGAGCCTGGAACTGTCAGAAGTGACAGCTGGGAGTTGCAGGAACTCAAAGAGGAAACGCCTAAGCTTGCGAAACTCGCCGAATTCGAGCAGGATGTCTCCGAATGATGAAGAATTTAATGCGATTTATAGGAGATACCTTATTTGATTGTTTTTTTTATGAAATCGGGTGTTGACGATTCGGGTTCGTAGACTTGATAAATATTTTGATGAATTGCGAATTTTTTGCGTTTTACTATCTCCTTTTATCAATTTTTAACGCCTTTTTGTTAATCAGGGGCGTTAAGAGCGGCAAAATCGCAGGTGCGTTGCGCGTCGTGGGCGCGGCTAACCCCGCTACAAAACCCGGCACGGCGATAAAGGATGCATTTCTTAAATTAAGCTTTTAGTAGAAATTAAATTTAAAATTTTATTTTGTTTTTTTCGTTTTTTTTCCTTGTGCGCCCCTTTTTCACGGATTTTGCACTTAAAATTGCACCTTTCAAAACAGTTCAAAAACCCGGGGCCAACACTTCCCCCTGTTTTTTTTTATACACTACGTTCCCTCCAATTTCTCGTAGCCAGCGTTTGGGCCCCGTTTTTGCATGCACATGTCCTGGTCGCAACATTTGGAGGGCAATTTTTCTTGCGTTCCCCGGGCCCCATTCTGCACATCTTGAAAGCAAAAAGGGGATGGTGCGCGCCCCGCGGGTGATTAATCTGGGGCAGTATTCAAATTGGGGCAGCATTGAGGGTGTGGTCATCCCTGAACCGGCCATATTTTCCTTTTCGCCGACGAAAAGCAAATTCTTCGTTTCACTCTTATTGTGTATAGGAAACCTCGAAAATTGGGTTTTCTAGATCATCCCGTAAAATACTAAATGTAAACTTTACTTATTACACTTTTTATGATTATTTTCGATCATATATGTATAACTATTTAAAGTACATCTTTAACTTTTATATTACATTTATTTACAAGTACTCCCGCGCTTTTGGATTTTACTACTCTACTTTTTCCAATCTTGATTACTAGGTTTTACGATAATTATATCCATTTATACAGTACATCATTAATATTTTATTTTTGAAATATAAATTTTTATCATTTATTTTAGTTTTTATTAACTTACTCTATGCTTATGGGAATTGACAAGAACTACCGTACTCTTCAGCTCCTACAGTACTCTGCTTAATCGGCTTTTTACCATTTGGTTTTCGGTCTTATATGTATAACTATTTACAATACATCTTGAACCTTTTTTAAATATAAGTTTAAATAAATTTTCAACATATCTTTTCAATATTTCTACATTTTCCGCATGAAGAGTTTTTTGGCTTTTCCAACATTAAAAATAAATTTAAATATAAGAAGGCTTTTTCGAATATAATTTTAACAAATTTTGAATGTTTTGCAAATTTCTGTATTTTTTTCACGTTATCGAATATAGTAGCAACTGGGCGATCAATTTCAGGTTTCGATCTCGACTCGGGTGATTTTTCCAAATCTGTGGTTTCTCAAAACCGCTTTAAAATGCGCGGCACAATGCTGCTGCTTTATTGATAATAAATTGGATGGTTAACATGGAAATATGGATTTATTAATATCGAAAGATTCTACTGCGGAAATTGCGGTAAGCTAATTCTTCTTCTATACAATTATTTTATGAATTACTTTGTAACACGCTGTTTTGAGATGAAATTCGATATTTTCATACATTTTTTGATGCTCTATCGTTTGGTGTTTTCAAAATATCGAAAAACCTGCGAAAGTATCAAAAACTATATGCACAAAAATTATTTTGTGGTTGTTCTAAATTTTTTATTGCAACATTTTAGGTTCAAACAAAAACTCTTAGTATATTTTTCAATGCTCTTTGCCATTTTTCAAGGCCAAGTTTCTTTTCTTCAAAAAATTGCACTTTTTCTGTGAAAATTTCAGTAGTAAAAGATGCGAATTTTCAGAAATCCGTGGAGAATGTTCGGATTCGTCGAGTTCCTATACTACGCGGTCGAGTTGACCACCTTGGTCGACCTGCCGACGTTTTTCGTCGCCGTCATAATGATTGTAATCATTTGGCGGGGCGCGGCCCTGAACCCCGGCCATCGAACGATACTCTTAAGCATATGTAAGTTGCCTAACAATAAGACGTTTTTGAGTGAAATCGCCGTTTCGGGTTTCGGTTTTTGGCTTTTTAGCTTCTTAGCCAAGCATTTCTTGTGCAGAATTTTGCGCTGATTTCGAAGCTGTTTCCAAGCTCTGCTAAATACCCAGGTTTAAAAAGTCGTAACTTTTGCTATTTCGCATCTCTGTGGGTCAGATTCCAATTCAGATGCGATTATCTACAGGGTGTCTCATAAAAAAATTTTTCATTACGGGGCTCTCTTTTGTATTTCTCATTACGGGGCTCTCTTTTGTATTTTATAACGTTAAGTTGTTGAAAACGCGATCGCTTTACTAGCAAGAGCTTTCAGTTTTGTGCCAATTCTGGATGCAAAAGAACCTGAGCTTAGCCAAAAATTCAGTGTTTTGCGTTATTTTTGCGTTTTATCGCGTCTCCTGCCACCTAGTGTTTTCTAACCTAGTCTTTATTACTTTTTGGTGTTACAATATTTTGCTCAGAAAACTTGGCTGCATGATCTTGATGGGTGTCCATCGCTGGTAAAAATTTGGTGCGGAGCCGATAGCAGATGACCAAATGCCGAGGGTGGTTTTTACTGGGACACCCTGTATATCGCATCTGGGATTTTTCAAGTTCCGATGGCTTAGTCAGTTGCGATATCTCTTGCAACTATTCCATCTGAATAAGAACTTCTACTTTACAGTGGTCGGGGACGCCATCGTGCTCCTACGTGCCCGCTACTTGTCCACCTATATAATGGGCTGTCGGAATTGGCAAATTCCGGCAGTTCTCGGTTTGTCTAGTGAGTTTTGAGTACTGAAGTTGAGCCTAAGCTAAGCCTGAGCTAAGCCTAAGCTAAGCCCAGACTACAACCATGGGTCTTTATTATTTTCTTTCAGTGTGCGGCACGAAGAATTTGCTGGATGGATGAATGTCTACGCAGCGATGGTCAGCCCGGCGTTGGGGCTGACCACCTTCGTGGGCTACCTGGCCTTCATGGTCTAAGGATGTAGAATGGAAAAAAATGGAAAATGGAATTTTTGAAAAGGTATTTTTTTGAACCCCATTCTTCGAAAAAAACCCCTTGGTAATTTACAAGTATAATTTCATAGAAAATTTCTTATAAGTTTCTAAGAATAATTTAGCTCTCTCTCTCCGTTTCTGTCTAGCGCTCTTTCCCTCTATATCCCCTCTCTCCCCTCTCACTCACTCTCACCCTCTCTCACTCACTCTCCCCCTCTCTTTCTCTCTCTCTCGCTCTCTCTCTCTCTCTCTTTCTCACTCGCTCTCTCTTTCGCTCGAAAAATAGCAACCCCATTTCGATGATTCAACTACAAAAACGTCATTTTCAGTAATCTGCCACTGCTGTATATGGCAGTGTCTTGGAAACACAGGGCGAACGCTTGGTTACTCAAAAAGGTAAGTAATTAAGAAGGTTGTTTTGGTAAAATTGAATAATATTTGAGGCCCAAAACAGTTTTGGAAGCAGCTTAAAGCTAGAATTTTAATTTTTGTAAATTCTCAGTCTGTCTCAGTTCGCAAAAAGCGTAAATTAGCTTGAAA